GGCGAGTCTCAGCCTCGAGTCTGCGGCATGGGCTAAGGTATTTGAGTCAGTTATGAAAACATTCTGTGGCTGTACCTTAATTTGAAAGAAGCAGGAAGGGAGTTTGAATAAACACCCCACACTGTCAGAATGTCCATTGAAGTAAGAGATCTTACTGAGTCAAATAACCTAGGAGAGTTTTCCTTGGCAGCCGGCATTCATAGCCATGTGACACCAACAAACAACCGTGCAAGAGAAACATGACAACAAAATACAGCGCCCACTGTGGCCATACTGTCACAAAGTCCTGGGCTGCTTGCAGCCTGGGCGCTCTGTGCATCCTTAATAAATCAGGATGAATGGTAGCATTCATAAGACAGGGTCAGCCAATGAGGCAGTCAGAAACCAGAAAGAGGAACCCATCTGGACTGGTCTAAGGAGGTTAGGGTCCTAACTATTCCAAAGAAAGAATTAGGAAAAAGTTTCTCTTGGGAGCTCCAATATTCTAGTCTCAGCAATGGCAGGGAGTCACTGAGTGACCTTGAGCAAGCCAAGCTCCACTCTCCCACACTTCCTAACACACACACACACACACACACACACTCCCCAGGCTGTGTTAACCATCTTTGAAATGAGGTCGGAAGAATGTAGCCTCCATGATCCTGTCCAGAGCAAAGAGAAAAACAAGCAAACAAGCTTCCGGTATAAAAACAACATAAATTCCAAGATGGGTGTGTCAACAAAAGGAACAGGACAAGAGTGGCCAGAAAGATAGGAGCAAAGAAGGCAGGAACTAGGTGACAGTGGCCAGAAAGATAGGAACAAAGAAGGCAGGACTAGGTCAAGAATGAATAGGAAGACGGGAACAGAGCAGGGGAGGCAGGATCTCTGCTGAGCTGTGACAAATCACCACACAGTTAGTGCCTTGGAAAAGCATGAGTCAGCCAGATGTCCTGGAACACATCTATAATTCCAGCTCCAGGAGGCCAGAAGATGAGGAGGAGGACAAGGCCAGCTAGGCTACATGGCAAGAACCTGCCTCAAAACATGAATTAATTCTTTTCTTCTTCTCTTACTACAGTTCTAGATGTGTGGGGGACCAACATAGGGTTCACTAGGTATAGACAGAGGAGTTGGCAGAGTCCTGCCCCCCTCCCCTAGAAAAAGACTCTTTCTTGATCTTTTCATTAATTAGAACTGCCCGGGTTTATTGATGTTTGCTCCTTCCTTCATCTTCAGAGCTAGCAGAGTGGCATCTTCTCATTTCCCCCTCAGGCTTCTCCAGTAACCCTTTAATGAATGCCCTTGCAACTACATAAGACCTCTCTGGTAATCCAGGAAAATCTCTGACTGCCATACTGAATCATTAATTTAATCATAGGTGTGCAGTCTCTTTTGCCACACAAGGCAGCACACTTCAGAATCTTAGGCATTACAACGTGGAAGGGAAGGGGCATTGCCCTGCCCACCACACACGCCACACAGAACCATCAAGTGGTATCTTCCATCCCACAGCATGCTGCTCTTGTCTATGCAGCTCCCAAACAGAAACTTCCTGGTGCTGTATCACCTTGCTGACCTCAAACCCCTACCACATAGCCAATCCATTCTACAACTCCAAGATTTCATCTCCAGTGTACGTAGCTGACACTTTTTTTGCTGAAGACCTTTCTCCATTATGTCCTTAATCTTATCAGTGTCTCTTTCAGAGCCTTCTCTTGGCCTCTACTCCAGTTCCTCTCCAGATCATTCTCAATAAACATAGAACATTTAAAATAAAAAATCTGGGCCAAAGAGGGAGAGAGAGAGGCAGGGAGGGGGAGAGAGAGAGAGAGAGAGAGAGAGAGAGAGAGAGAGAGAGAGAGAGAGTAAATAGAAAGTAACAAACAAAAATTAAAGACCAAACATCTTAGAAGTCTGGCTCATATTGTATCTTGCTGAAAAACCTCAACAACTCTGACTGTTATCATATGAAAACCAAACTTCCAAATGCCACCCCTGGCCCTGAGTGACCTGTCCAGGATGACTCCTTCAGCGGTACTTTTGACACCTTGCTCTCTTCCCTAAGAGAAGGTACTCTCTTCCCTGCTTCACTGGCCATCAAGGGCTCTTCAAGTAGGTTGAGTCTTCTGGCCTCTTTTTGCAAATGCTGATTCCACTTGTTCCCATCCCTTTGTTTCCCTGCCTTGGCACCGCATTGAAAGGCTCACTTCCCTCAGGAAAGCGCTTGCCACACCTGACCCTCTCCTGCTCACAAGCCCGGAATAGACTTTATACATTGGCTGGCATAGTCTGTGCCTTTCCCATTAGCTGGAGCTGCCTGTGTTTCTTGATGCATTTCTCCATTCTTCCATCTTCGTAGGCAGGAGAGGGGCATCATCTTTGATGCTATTATAGTTTATAACTAAGTATTTGTGTGATTAATTGTTAGATGTTTCTCTTAGTATGTTGTGAGCTCTAAAAGTCAGAGAGTGTCTACTTCTTGCCCATGTGTCCCACAGCCATGTGTCCCACAACCATGTGTCCCACAACCATGTGTCCCACAACCATGTGTCCCCACAGCCATGTGTCCCACAGCCATGTGTCCCACAGCCGTGTGTCCCATAGTTGTGTGTCCCACATCCATGTGTCCCACAGCCATGTGTCCCACAGCCATGTGTCCCCACAGCCATGTGTCCCCACAGCCATGTGTCCCCACAGCCGTGTGTCCCATAGTTGTGTGTCCCACATCCATGTGTCCCACAGCCGTGTGTCCCACAGCCATGTGTCCCCACAGTCGTGTGTCCCACAGCCGTGTGTCCCACAGCCATGTGTCCCACAACCATGTGTCCCCACAGCCATGTGTCCCCACAGCCATGTGTCCCACAACCATGTGTCCCCACAGCCATGTGTCCCCACAGCCATGTGTCCCACAACCATGTGTCCCCACAGCCATGTGTCCCACAGCCATGTGTCTCCACAGCCATGTGTCCCACAGCCATGTGTCCCACAGCCATGTGTCCCCACAGCCGTGTGTCCCACAACCATGTGTCCCCACAGCCGTGTGTCCCACAACCATGTGTCCCCACAGCCATGTGTCCCACAACCATGTGTCCCACAACCATGTGTCCCCACAGCCGTGTGTCCCACATCCATGTGTCCCCACAGCCATGTGTCCCACAGCCATGTGTCCCACAACCATGTGTCCCACAGCCATGTGTCCCACAGCCATGTGTCCCACAGCCATGTGTCTTCACAGTCTGAGGCCTGAGATGGAAGAGCAGTTAGTATCTGATATATGGAAGAACGCTAAGTGTGAAGTGCTGTGTAAAGAGGTGGCTTAAAACTCAGTGCCTTGAGTCAGACAGATTTAAGTTGAAATCATAGCTTGGCCTCTCTTAGTTTTATGATTTGGGGAATGATCCTTAATACTCTGAGGCTCACTTTTCTAGTATGTAATATGAAGGTCTAATCGCTACCTTAAATTTTACTATGAAGGTTAATATAAGGGCTTCCAGTACTTGGGCATATCGGAGGGACAGTAAGTGAAAGTCCGCTGCTAACTCTCACACTGCAAATGTAACCAGCAGTACATGGATGCTGGCTGAACTTCATGACCACACTGTCATTTCCTCCTTCTGCATCTAAGATTCCCAGGGGCCAGAAAGAAATCCTGTGAGACTGTGGCTGGCTTGGATGTGACAGCAGCCATTGCTGCCGCTTGACTGAACTGTAGTTAGAGTTGACGGGTGCCAAAATCATTTGTGAGCACGCGTTAAAACACAGAGTCACAAGCTCCGCCTCCAGAGCCGAGGCCAAGGTGGTAACTGGGACTCTTTCTTTTGGTGAGATACCGAGTTAGTCTGAAATGAAGTATTCCAAGTCTACACTTCAGGAAATTCTAGCATATGGGTCTCCCGAACTCTGACCCTTCTATCAGCTTCCTGCTAAGGAACCAGATGGAGCTAGCCCTGCAGCCTCCCTGCGCCCATAATATCCTGTCCATCTAGAGAATGCCTACATTCAAACTACTTTGTGGTCCCCTGGGAGCCAATGGTTGTGTCTTACTCATTCGTGTGGATCAAGATTCCGCACTGAGCCTGCCAATGGCAAGTAAAGCCTTGGTCTTGATGCCTGTGTCCTTAGCCCGATTCCTGCTCATCTGTCATGGTAACAGACAATCTGATGGCATTATTTAGCCAGTGACTCAGATCATAAAACCTTGGGATCTTTCCTGACTCCTCATATATGCTACTTCCCATCTGTTAGAAATCCTTGTTCTCTTAACTTCCAAATGTGTCCAGCAAATCACTGCTGCACTGCCGGACGCGCTGGCTCAATCTACAGCTGTCTACTCCCTCCACAGTAGCCCCGTTCTTCAGACATAGCTCTCTTTTCTTTTACATGTTTTTTTTTCCTAATGAGTATGAATTTTTAAAACATGTTGAGCCATGTCTATACTATACAAAGTTCAAATGACTTGCTGGTCCGTGTAGAAGAAACCCAAATCCCTATGATGGCCCATGGATCCTCCCACCCCCACCCCGTTCACATCTCACTTTCCCCTTGATATTGTAGAATTGTTGTTGTGAGGAGTCATGCAAGGGCTTTCCTTCCATACATTAAGGTCCTTGTGATCAAGGTCTCGGGGCTTTGGAGATTCTTGAACTTGTATGAGTACCAGGGAATGGTGTGATTTACTCCTTGGTTGCACTCAGATCCGCGGGAGAGTGGAGACTAACTCATGTAAGAAAAGACAGCACATGAGAGCGGGTAGGATCTGGGGCAAACTGTCTCTCAAGTCTTTGGAGTTGCTTTGGGTTAAGGCCAAGGATTTGCCGTTCATCGTTATTTAAAGAGCCATGCTGGAGCTGATGGGATGACGAAGATACAAAGATCAGGTGATAGTTTAAGTTCAAGAGAAGCGAGTCAACTTCAGGACCAGAAGGGGCAGCTTGGGGCTTTTCTACATGTTCCTCTTGCTTAGCAGCTGCCTCTTTAATAATCCTGAATACAAAAATTTCATGCTTATCTTCCCATAGGACTTCTTGGACCTACTCTCTATGCTGAGGTTGGAGACACCATGAAAGTTCACTTCAGAAACAAAGCAGACAAGCCCATAAGCATCCATCCTCAAGGAATCAAATACAGCAAATTTTCAGAAGGTAAGATGAGTTTGTGAACCTCTAACAAGAGAAAGGGTTGATCGCTTTAATGTTATTGCTAGATATTTTTACAGCTGGGATTGTTCACCGTGCACTCTTAGAGAAACTGTAATTATAAAAATTGATCCTGCTTTCGGTTTCAGAGATGAAAACTAATGGTTTAGAGCCACCTAAATACCAGGGTTTTGTTAAGTTCCTGCACCTAATAAGGTGGGTGAGAAAATCATCCCACCTCTCTGAATTCCATATGTTCACCTTAAAATGGTAATAACAGCCCCACCATCTAGGATGGTTTTAGGCAGAGATAAGCCCATGTGTCTACAGTAAGTACAAGCAAGAATTATCATCACACAAACAAATGCAGGCAAATGTACTCTGCTTGAACTCCATGGCTACTATGCTTCTTTCCCCCGCTTCTATGAGTTTTAATGGGCACACACAAAACCCCATGGTAATTAAGGGTGAGCAAACATTTTTTTTTAAAAGCCATCTACTAAATACATTCAGCTTTGCAGGCAACAAGATTTATGCTGCCTTGGAAAGAGGACATTTTGGTTGAGGAATTGTTCCATCAGATTTGCTTGTGGGCATGTCTGTGGAGAACTTTCTTGACTGCTAATTGATAAGGGAGGTCCCAGCCCACTGTGGATGGTGCTATCCCTGGGCAATGAGCCTGGGCTGTATAAAACAGGTAGCTGAGCATGCCAGGGACACAAACCCATGAGCAGAGTTCTTCAGTTACTGCCGTGAGTTCCTGCCTTGGCTTCCCTCCACAACGCACTATCATCTGTAATCCAGGTCAACCCTTTTCTTTCCAAGTTGCTTTTGGTCAGTGTTTTATCACAGCAAGAGAAACGGGAATTGGAATAGTTGGCAAGTTCCCGGACAAGACATTGTGCACAGGAGTCTCTTCTATGTTATCTGATTTCATACAGTGATTAGCCCGCTTATGAGGTTTCTCGATCAGAGTTGAGCAGTGCAGGGCAGGAGAGGGGAGCAGCAGCATGGTCAAACAGTGATGTTTGACCTTCCAAGCATCACAATGAGGGAGAAAGTGAGAGTGTGGACTCTGGCCCTCAGCTCAGTTGTTTGCAGAGGGAATGGACCTTGCAACATCGCTCATCTCCCTCTAATGTTTATTTGCCCCCCTATTACTCAGTCAGCAAGCGTTTGTGAAACCAAATGATTGGGCATGCCCCCAGCACATCTGCTTGCAGCTTCTTAGCATTGTGCGTGAGTGCCTATATTTCCATAAAGTCGAAAACAGTAAATTCAGCTAAATAGGAAAAATAAAAAGCTTCCCTGGAAAACAAGATACAAACTTAGTATATACTTTCCTTCATGTAGAGACAAGCCTCCTCCCATTGTACCATGCCCTTCGGGATTAAAATGTGGTATCTCCTCATATCTGTGTCTAGCACTCACCCTCACCTACTGCCTACCTCTGTGGCTGGACCTAGTTTGCTGGGGGTAAAGCAGCTACATGGTGAGCCAGCAAGGTGAGAGTCCAAATTCTTTATCTCAGAAGTAAACATAAAACGGATGGGCAGTGTGAGACAGAGACACTAAGGATAGGTTTGAGAAGTCATCATGGTAGGTAGGTTGAAGAAGAACTCCCCTGTTGGACAGAATACACAAACTTGTTCCTGGAAATGCGTACAGTTCCTTTCTAATGGTATTGAATTTTTTAAGCTTTGTATCAGGTCTGGGAAGACAGCTCAGCAGGTAAGAGTGCTTACTGAACAAACATGGCCACCTGAGTTCAAATTTCGGAAACTCCCATAAAAAACAAGGTGTGGCCAGGTGCATCTATAACATTCAGTGCTTGTGGACAGGGGATAGAGATGGGAGCTCTCTAGGGCTTGATGGTTACCAGCTGAATTTCATGTTCACAAAGAAACTCTGTCTCAAGGGATGAAGGTCATCACAAGTCCTCTGGCTTACACACACACACACACACACACACACACACACACACACACTACTGTAAAAACCCCAAAACCCTAAAAAAAAACAAAAAAAACTAACACTAAAGTAAATTTAATTGAAATGAAATTTAATTTAAAAAAAGTCTTTAAGTAGCATGCATTGCAGTATTGGTAAGGTTTGAGTGATTATTTTAAGGAAGTCTCTTTCATGATAAGTCTTAATATTGTTATTATTCTTTTTTCTTCTCTCTCTATGTCTCTTCTCCTTCCCTCCCTCCTTCTCTCTTTCTCTTTGTCTCTGCCGCCGTGTGTGTGTGTGTGTGTGTGTGTGTGTGTGTGTGTGTATGTGTGTGTGATGGGGGATCGGACCCAGCTCCTCACACATTCTGGGAAAGCACTTTTACCACTAAGTTGCATTTCCAGACCCTTGATAGTATTCTTTCATGGGATTTATATTCTTGTATTTACCTGGGGAGTTGCATTGTACTGTACCACAAAATTAATTTTAGTTTTATATAAAATGCTTTAAATTATATTTAATGTTATAACTCTATACATTTAACCATCTTCTAGTAGGCTGGAGCCCTAAATCTTTTTTTGTTGATTTTATTGAGCTCTACATTTTTTTCTGCTCCCTTCCCTTCCTCTCCCCTCCTTTTCAACCGTCTCCCATGGTCCCCATGCTCCCAATTTACTCAGGAGACCTTGTCTTTTTCTACTTCCCATGTAGATTAGAACTATGTATGTCTTTCTTAGTGTCCTCATTGTTATCTAGGTTCACTGGGATTGTTATTTGTAGGCTGGTTTTCTTTGCTTTATATCCAAAAACTACTTATGAGTGAGTACATATGATATTTGTCTTTCTTGGTCTGGGTTACCTCATTCAATATGATGTTTTCTAGTTCTATCCATTTGCCTGCAAATTTCAAGATGTAATTTTTTATTTTATTTTATTGTTTTGCTGTGTAGTACTCCGTTGTGTAAATGTACCACATTTTCCTTATCCATTCTTTGGTCCAGGAGCATTTAGGTTGTTTCCAGGTTCAGGCTATGACAAAAAAAGCTGCTATGAACATAGTTGAACACATGTCCTTGCGGCATGATTGAGCATCCTTTGGATATATACCCAAAAGTGTTATTACTGTGTCTTGAGGAAGGTTGTTTTCTAATTTTCTGATAAATCGCCACACTGACATCCAAAGGGGCTGTACCAGCTTGCACTCCCCCCAGCAATGCAGGAGAGTTCCCTTATCCCACAACCTCTCCAGCATAAGTTGTCATCAGTGTTTTTGATCTTGGCCATTCTTACAGGTATAAGATGGAATCCCAGAGTTGTTTTGATTTACATCTCTCTGATATAGAGCCCTAAATCTTTTTTTCTTTTTTTTTCCGTTTATTTATTTATTAAAGATTTCTGTCTCTTCCCTGCCACCGCCTCCCATTTCCCTCCCCCTCCCCCAATCAAGTTCCCCTCCCTCGTCAGCCCAAAGAGCAATCAGGGTTCCCTGCCCAGTGGGAAGTCCAAGGACCACCCACCTCCATCCAGGTCTAGTAAGGTGAGCATCCAAACTGCCTAGGTTCCCACAAAGCCAATATGTGCAGTAGGATCAAAAACCCACTGCCATTGTTCTTGAGTTCTCAGTAGTCCTCATTGTCCGCTATGTTCAGCGAGTCCGGTTTTATCTCAAGCTTTTTCAGACCCAGGCCAGCTGGCCTTGGTGAGTTCCCGATAGAACATCCCCATTGTCTCAGTGTGTGGGTGCACCCCTGGCGGTCCTGAGTTCCTTGCTCATGTTCTCTCTCCTTCTGCTCCTGATTTGGACCTTGAGATTTCTGTCCGGTGCTCCAATGTGGGTCTCTGTCTCAGTCTCCTTTCATCGCCTGATGAAGGTTAATATTCAGGAGGATGCCTATATGTTTTTCTTTGGGTTCTCCTTATTTAGCTTCTCTAGGATCACTAATTATAGGCTCAATGTCCTTTGTTTATGGCTAGAAACCAAATATGAGTGAGTACATCCCATGTTCCTCTTTTTGGGTCTGGCTTACCTCACTCAGGATAGTGTTTTCTATTTCCATCCATTTGCATGCAAAATTCAAGAAGTCCTTGTTTTTTACTGCTGAGTAGTACTCTAATATGTATATATTCCATACTTTCTTCATCCATTCTTCCATTGAAGGGCATCTAGGTTGTTTCCAGGTTCTGGATATTACAAACAATGCTGCTATGAACATAGTAGAGCATATACTTTTGTTGTATGATAAGGCCTCTCTTGGGTATATTCCCAAGAGTGGTATTGCTGGGTCCAGGGGAAGGTTGATCCCGAATTTCTTGAGAAACCACCACACTGCTTTCCAAAGTGGTTGCACAAGTTTGCATTCCCACCAGCAATGGATGAGTGTACCCTTTTCTCCACAACCTCTCCAGCAAAGGCTATCATTGGTGTTTTTGATTTTAGCCATTCTGACAGGTATAAGATGGTATCTTAAAGTTGTCTTGATTTGCATTTCCCTGATCGCTAAGGAAGTTGAGCATGACCTTAAGTGTCTTTTGGCCATTTGAACTTCTTCTGTTGAGAATTCTCTGTTCAGCTCAGTGCCCCATTTTATAATTGGGTTGATTAGATTTTTATGGTCTAGTTTCTTGAGTTCTTTATATATTTTGGAGATCAGAGCTTTGTCTGTTGCGGGGTTGGTGAAGATCTTCTCCCAGTCAGTGGGTTGCCTTTGTGTCTTAGTGACAGTGTCCTTTGCTTTACAGAATAGAGCCCTAAATCTTAAAAATAAATCCAATAAAAATTGTAGTTTGCATCTAAGTGTTGTAAAATTTTGCATATGAAAACTTAGTCTTTAAGGAGTTTCCTTAACATTTCAATTCTTGACACAAGTTTGTTTACTTCTACCAAGTATGAAACAAATTATAATGATAAATAAAAAAATCTCATAAATCATAAAAATCTGCATTGTTCAATTTTTTAAAACCTCATATGTCTACGCAGTAGAATCAAGTTCATTATACAACACCAGCATTAATTTTCCCATTGTCTAAAGTACAGCTTCTAAAGGAATATCTGG